GCTTAGAATCGACACTTTCAACATCTGTAAATAGCTTAAAATTCTGAGTTTTGTTCATGGTTTTGTTTTGGCCATTCATGTTTATAAAACATCACCACCTTTAGGATGAACACAGAACACAATAAGACATTTTCATTTAGGTTTTATATATTAAGATGTTTTATTGTGGAGGCATTCTTACTGTTTCACTGTTTTTCTGAGACTGTTATAAGTTTGACAGAAACACATTTAATAGACTATATTTCATGTATTGGCAAATGAATTAAAAATTTAATGGCAGTTCACCCACTTAACTTAAAATGTTTACAACTTATTTAGTTTGGCATTTAATTAAATGTATGCAAAGTTTAAATCACTCAATAGTTAAAACTTATTTAGATTATAAACATATGTTGTGTCTCTACCAAGGGTCCTGCTGATGACAGGATGCAGTTCATAAGCTCCATTCCATCTGACCTTGTCAGACAGTAAAGAGCGTTTTGAGCAGCTCTGTTGGCTTTACCTGTGTGAGCGTTAACATTTCTCTGGGTCTGATGTCAGCTACCTGTGCAGACTGCTGGCTCTCAGTATCCTGCACCGCTCCAAACAGAGCCATGCCTTGAATGACACACAGATGATGTTTGATGCTGATGGCATCTTGAGCAACATTGAGACAAAGTGGCCTTGCTCTGTCCATGACCCTCATGTGGACAGATGAGCTTAATTTCACTGTTGAAATAAGTAAGAGAATGAAATATGAGAGCATGCACCAAGTCATTGGTACACTGTAGTGCAAAATCTTCTAATATTTAATATAGTTATGTTTGTCTACATTAAATAGACAAACATTTAATATGTGCAACCTTGTTTTGTTACACTTCATGACAACAGTCAAACATTCATTAAGACTCCTTCATGTTTATAACAGGTGTTATATCATATTTATGACAGTGTCGTTCAGTCTTATGGACACCCTGTCAAATAAAGTGTCACAATCGTTTCCTTCTTGCTGGTTAAGGAAATGGACCTATCACATCATCTGTGCACCCATTTCCTTTAGTAAAGTCAGATGTGATTGGTCAGACACCGTAACATAAGTATTTATAGAGAACGCTCAGGCTGCAGCCTGTTAAGGTGAGAAGGATAACTGGCTAAAAACAGGAACCATTTCAGGACCTTTAGACTTTGAAAGGTAAATATAATTTTATTTGAATGTACAGAAATAAACAAAATACATCCAATATAATATGTTTTGGAAAATATATTCCATCTGTTTAATTTAATGTTACTGATGAAAAATAATAGAAATAATGTTTATGCTACCTGCCAATAGTTTCATGTAGACAGTCTGTAGTTTTGCTGCTGGAGGACAAACTGATCATTTTATCTCTCTCTGTTGGTCTGTGTTGCCTTCCTAGAAAACAGCATCAGCTGAGATAATATTAACCATAATTCATATTTCTCTCTCTTCTGCTGGGAACTTTTTTCTTTTCATTAACATAGAAAGTAATCCTACATCAGCTTTTCTGTTTCTGTGTTGCATATCTGTTCTGGTTTCACAAACCCCCAGTCTGTGGCAGATCACCACTTGAACTGAGCCAGGTTCTGGTTCTGGTTCAGGTTCTGGTTCTGGTTCAGGTTTTGGTTCTGATTTCCTTTTTACTGACTGAGGAACCTTCCTGCAATGGTTCCTGGGTAAAAAACAACTTTTACCCCCAAACCTGATGCATCAGCTTACATGGACGAAATAAAGAATCATTCAAATTATATATAATAAATATATAAACTACTGTCTCACTCTAAAATTGAAACTGTCCTAATTAGATGTTTGTTAATGCAGGATTGTTCATAAGTGAACCTGAACAGAAACATGTCAGTTAGTCGATACAGAGAAGTAGATCTGCTAAACACTGAATGACCGTGTTTGGTTTTCTCAGGGTGAAAATATGAATATTTACAGTTTGGACCCAGTTAAAGAAAACCTGAAGAACAATATATAAACTCTGATTAATGAGAAATTTGTCCACTTTTACCAATATAATTTTATATTATTTGTATTTTGATGGTAAATGTGAGAATTTACAGTTTAAACTTAAACAGCATTTAAAAATGTTATTATCTTTTCTGTTTACAGTTACTCCTGTCATCAAATTTCTGGTTCAGCACTGAAGGATGGAAAAGTTGAACTTTAGTATGTCTGGAGAAAACAGTTTAAATTACAGCAACATGAACCTGAACTCCAGTAACATTAATAACCGGATGGACCTGATTTTTTCTTTACAAATCATAATGTGGATGAACTGGATCACCATTGCCATTGGACTTCCTTTAGTTCTTATAGTGATAATTGCAATTTTTTTCCAGGTGAGTACAATATAAGTGTAACCTATTTATTTACAATGGATGAGCTATTTGACTAAGTTCCTGTTCAGGTTTAAGTTAATCTTGTCCTAAATCACTGGAATGTGAGGAACAGGCAACAATTTACATGTCAAAAATTTTATTGTGTCATTAATAATTATTCTCTGTTTTCTTTCTCACAGGTGAAAAAGGGTCAAGATGCTCCAGTTTATGTCATCAACCTTCTTGTCTCTGATCTCATTCAGTTCTGCTGCAGAATTCCAGTAGATCTATATAATCCTGGTCTATCCATTGTCATTTGCCCCTACATTTTATTTTATGCTTTTATTACCAGTGTTGGATTCATGTTGTGTGTCTCCTGTGAAAGGTGTGTTTCCATTTTTACTTCTCTTCTTTCTCATATAATCACATCAGTCTGTTCTTCATGACCTTCAGGGACTAAACATCTCCATCTGTTATTGCAGGTATCTGGTCATTACCAAGCCACTGTGGTACAGATTCAGGAGAAACATCAAGACATATGTGGTGGTCTGCATTGTGGTCTGGATACTTCCACTTCTTTTTCTGCTATTTGCTTTTCTGACTCTAGGTGTTCAGATGGCTGCTTTCTCCCTCATAGTTGTTCTCATCCTGCCTTTTCCCTTGTTCATCTTCTTCCTGGTTGGGACTATCAAAGCTCTCTCTGGAGCTCTCAGTGTCCCAGCAGATGAAAAACGACGAATAGCAGCCATTCAGGTTGTGGTGCTGATTAATTACACTCTGCTTTATCTACCCATCATCATTTTGCTTCTACAAGTCATTGTAGTATTGAATACTAAACTTGGCATTTTTTCTGTTGTTGTGGCTTATGTTTGTGTTTGTCTTAGTCCTCTTGCAGACACAACTCTGTATTTGTTAAGTCGGAAAAGCATCATGGATAAATTTCTGGCTTCAATCTGTTCTTGTAAAACTTCTTCCAATCTGGAAATGAGCAGCACAGATCATGACAGCAGAACTGGTACAAATACTGAGACTGTTTAAGTTTTAATGTTTGTTATGGTGCAAAAGAGCCTCAACAATAATCAGTTTGTTGTAGCTGCTTTTTGGATCGACTAGCAAAAGGGACACATTTGTTTTAAAATGTTTCATAAAAATATTTTTATTGGCAAAATAATTTCTAAAAATTAAATATAAGAAATCACTGATTTGTTAAGTGAGCACTTTGAGCATTTTTTCCTCAGTTCATTTTTGTTTCTCTTTAGTCATTATTTTTTCATTTATATCTTCAGAAAGTCGTCCTTAAAATGAATTGGTCCAAGTTTTGAATATATACATATATATTTTTTTTATTTTTGCTAATCTTTTTACAAGTTATGCACGGTTATATTTTCCCTGTAACTCTATTTCAGTTTCATGGTGAATCTGTTGATAATATAAAAACTATGATGGCTCACAGGAATGGAAAGTGTTGCTACATTATTATAATTATGTCTGAAATCATAAATTCTGCTATAATCACCTGCATTTAATCGTGGATGTATTTTTTTCATGTATTTATCTGCTTAACCAAACATACATAGTAATATGTACATTACTACATGTTCACTTGCTAGACTTAAAGCTGTAGAAATAATGGTTTTAGTTGTTATTTAGCAACTAATACACCTGAAATTTCAGGTGTATTTCAGGTGACGTGTCTTTATGTCAGAATAATTTTGATTTTGGTGCTGATATAGTAACATCTTCAGAACAGATATGTTGCTGTTGTTCTTTAACTTTATTCAGTAAATGTTATTCTGTAAATAGAATAATATTATGTACATTTACATGATATTCAGTAAAAACTTTTTAAGTCAAAATAATGTTTCTCAGCAGTTTAATTAAATTGAGTAAGCACTTATTAAATGTTTCTGTAGCACATTTTCTATCTTAATTTTGTAAATGTTTGAGAAAGCTTTGAAATATCTGTTTTTAATATCTTTTGCTTGTGGAGAGGCTTCTCGTGTTAATCATCCTGTAAGTACCTTTGGTGACCTTGCCTTCAAATGTTCTTTTTATGTGCAGCTATGTAAAATAAAACTTGTTTAAAATCAGGTTTATTTTTAATATACAAACTTATTCAGTGAAAATATGAATAAGAGGGAAGAAAGTAAATGAACTTAATAAAGAAAGGAAATTTGATTCTTTTGAAAGGCTCTATGTTCAAGTCTCAGTAAGAACTGTTCTTTTTTTACAACTCTTCTTGCTATGAATGCTTTGCATGTCAACTGTTTTTAACTTTATGCAATTTAAAATTATTCCATGAATAAATACAAAGATAGATACAATAGACATAGATGAATCATTATTATATGGTCAAAAGGGGATTTTTGTTTCCTGCTTCAGCAACTCAAGTATATTTTCTTTATTATTTTTCTATATTACAAATAGCATAAAAATCTCGTTAACACATACAAAACTTGTAATAAAGAACAAATTATTTTGTAATTTCCATGTGTTTGTCATCAATGGAAAGCTTAGAATCGACACTTTCAACATCTGTAAATAGCTTAAAATTCTGAGTTTTGTTCATGGTTTTGTTTTGGCC